AAAAAGATTTTTTTTTAATCTTTGCTATTTCCTTCTTTCGACTTTCTTTGGATTTAATTTGCTCATCTTTTTCTTGCTTCTCAAGGTTAGAAACTTGGATCTTTGATTCTTTTCTATTCCAACTTAGGTGTTAAAGCTATAAATTCCCCTGAGCAGGATTAGGTGCATCCCACAGATTTTGATGTTATATTTTCATTATCATTTATATCAAAGTCTATTTAACTTGCTCTCTGATATCTTCTTTCATTGATGTGGTACTAAGTATATTATTTACTTTTAATAGTTTGAGGGCTTTGTGAGTTATTGTTATTGACTTCTACTTTTTCGTACTCTAACTTTTTAATACTTCTGAGGTTTATTGAAATTTGTTTTATGGTCATAATATGGCTTATCTATATGAACACTCCACATGCACTTGAAAATGATTTTTTTCCACATTTGTTGTTTGAGAGAGGGGTATTAGTCTTCAAATATAATTTTGAGTATGTCTATTCCTCCTGCTATAGTTCTGTCACTGTTTATTTCATGCATTTTGAAACTCTTAATAGGAGGATACACTTTTGCAATTTTTACATGTTCCTGATGCATCGACCCCTTTATCATTATGGAATGTTTCCGTTTATGTGAGATAATATTCTTGTCTTGTAGTCTAATTTTTCTCATTAACATGGCCAGCTTTCTTATGGGATGAACCTTTTTCTTCTTTGCATTTATGTTTAAAGTGAATCTTTTGGATTGCATATAGTTAGGTTTTGCAATTTTTATGCAGTCTCATACTCTCTGCACTTTAACTGGATTGTTTAGGTCATGGGCTGACAAGCCTTTTCTGTAACATGCAGACAGTACTATGGTTTGTGTGGCAAATACTCTACTCTGGCACTGTAGTGTGAAAGTGGTCCTAAGCAATTTGCAAATGAATGGATTAAGCTGTGTTCAAATAAAACTTTATGTATATAATAGGCCATAGTTTGCTGAAGCCTGGTTTAGACCACTTATAATTAATACGCTTATAAATATTGTAGACTTAGGTATGCCATTTGTTATTTATTTTCTGTTTGCCTTATCCTTGTACTTCTGTTGCTCTCCCTGCCTTCTTTTGGGTTATTTGAATATTTTGAATGTTTTCTTTCAATTTCTCTATTGACTCTTTTGCCAGACATCTTTGAATTATTTTCTTAGTCATTGCTCTTTAATATGGAACTTCTCCACCCCCCCGACTCTTAGAATTTATCAACTTTTAAGAAGTGTCAGTGTTCTTATTTGTCACAGAAACATCAATGTCAATTTTCTTCTTGCTGATAACCCTGTTCTCTTTCTTCCTTTCTGCTAGTGCATAAGCCAGAGGGTAGTATCAAATGAATTGCCTAGAATTAGAGTCAAACAAAAATGAACTGGAACACACACACACACACACACACACACTCTCTCTCTCTCTCTCTCTCTCTCTCTCTCTCTCTCTCTCTCTCATACTCACTTTCTGTCAAAGTGTGTATCAGTCAGGTGTAAGAATTGGAAAGGAAGAGTTAGAACTCTAATTTGCAAATGTGATATTACATCAAAAACCCAAGATAATAACTGAATGCTACTACAAATTAAAGAGGTAAATCAATAATAATTACACATATACAAAGATCATGAGCTTTTATATGTATAAACAACCACAGTTGGAAGATAACGGAAGAGAAAAACGTATTTACAATTGCCACTTCGTAAAAGTGTTAATTTTTTCTAGATTAATTGATTAAAGAATCCCAGTACGTATGATATTATTAAAGAGACTGATTCTGAAGTTTATATATGAAAATAATTAAGAATCATCAGAAAAATTCTTAAGTGGAATAATGACAGACTCACTGCATATTAAAATATGTTATAAAGCCTTAGCAAATAACACATGAATAAGAAATTCAGAAATGATCTGAAATATACATTGGAATTTAATATTTGCAAAAGGCAGCATGTCTAATTAGCACAAAAGAGATAGAATTTTTAATAAATGGTCTTGAGACAACTGGATAGTCAATTGGAAAAGTCTTTTTGTGGATTTAAGTAGAATCCATATTACATATCAAGACAAACTACAAATGGGTCAGATGTTCAAGTATAAAAAAATAAGACATATGAAACACAAGTATCCAACAATAAATAGCTTGAGTAAACGGTGGTATATCCATATGATGGAATGCTGTATAGCTGCAATATAGAAAAAAATTCACTGTATCCCGGTGGAGAGATCTCCGGGTTATATTGTAAAGTGAAGAACATGAGATGCAGGATAATATATATAGTATACCATCTTTTGTTAAAAAGAGGTAGACATTTTATGATTTAATACTTGTATTTTCATAAAGTAACATTTTACAGGGGCAAGAAGAAATGGGGTACATGTAGACAAGACAGCAGTGGGAGTGACACTCCTAAGCGGAAACCTTTTTATTTTTGTTTTGATTTTTGAAGCATGTAGATGTATTATCTATTTTAAGCATCATTTAAAAACTCTTCCAGGTTAAGATGATTTAATCTGCAGCTTCCGTGAATCATTTAAGGAAAAAGTAATTCTAGATTTAAACTTCCCTAGTTAGTAGAAAAATAGGGACCACTGTTCAACTCCTTTTATGTGGCTAGAATAACCTTGTTTCTAAAACCTGACAAGATGTTGCGTAAAGGAGGCAACATAGGAAAGAATGCAAAGGATGTGATTTTGTCACACAAGTCAGGATATTGGTTCTCTCCAGTGGGAAGGTGGAAGCTGTGGTCAGGTCAGGGGCACATGGGGTTCCTGGGTTGCTGGATTGTCCTGTTTCTTTATCTGGATTTCAGTTATATGTTCACTTTATACACGTGTTTAACTCTACATTTGTCTCATTGTCTTTATGTATGTTATAAATTATAAATATAAAATAGTTTTTAAAAGAAGCTATAATAATTGTGGGATATATGTTCATCTAGTAAATTAGCTTTAAATATATAAAGTAATAACTGAATAGAATTTGCGTAGGGGAATACAGGAGTTTTCAACAGTTTAAGATAGAGCTTCTAACAATCCATTCTCAGAAATTGGCAAGTCAAGCAGATTAAAAAATCAAGTCTTAGAAGTGTTTATTTTTTGAAGGTGGACCTTTTTCATGGCATAGTTATTCCATTCTGTGTTAAAATGAGTGGTAGAGTAAAACAGTGAGTTTTAAAAATGGTAAAAATTGGTTTCTCCCAAACGAGTTTTACCAAGGAATTAGAGGCCAGTCAAATCTATACCTAGTAGGGACCACCTAGTTTTGTTTTAAACTATTCTATTAGCATTTACACTCTGTGACTAGCACAGCTGTTGCAGCCAATGTAAGAATTGTTCATTCACATGATCAGTTTACGTTTATTGCAAATAAAGCTCCTGTTAAAAAAAAAATCATGCTACAGAAAAGAACAGAGAAAGTATGTAACATGGGAAGATTGCACAGACTTTGGGAGCCCAGGACTAAGTGCCTTTCTTCATTTAAAGGACTGCCTACCATGTCTCCTCTTAACTTATTCCAAATCTGGAAAATAACTACTTGGTAAGAAGTACTAAATATATGTGGGAATTTAAATCCTTGTTAGAAATTCTATTTTCCATTCCTTTGGAAAACCTGGTCAAACTGTTCAGGTTTTCTCTCACTTAGCTTTGCTCTTTGGAGATGTTCTGGCTGGAGGTTGTTTGTAGCAGGATTTGGAGAAGCTGGCTTTGTGTAGAACTAGTCTGTGAAAGTCCTTATTAGGAGATTTAAAGGACTCACTGCCATGTGAGCTGTGAGGATCAGTTCACTGAGATGGAGCCAGGGTTTGGAATTATTTTCTGTGGAAGAGAGCCCTGTTTAACCCAGAAAAGATCAACTCAAATAGTATACACAGATTTGGCCTAGTCTAGTCTCTCAGGCGCTGAAGCATGCTACCACTGTCTAAACTCTTTAATCTTTTCTAAACTAAAAAAATACAAGGAATCCCCACCCCCATCTCCACCTTAACCAAACCTTCAATATACGAAAACAAGAACAAAACTTATGCAGGGCTGGCTGGATAGGCTACAGTAGGCTAAAACTTTTTTCTAATACATACCAGTCCGTGAGATTCTAATCACTATCTCTGATTCCACAGTAGCCCCTTTCTCAGAGAATTTCCAGAAGCAGTTGTTACCCTAATCAGTTTTCCAGCTGACAGCCATCCAGTAGTGGGTGGCATTTTTCACTCTCCTGCCCAGGATGCACACGGTGTGACCTCCCTTTGTCTGTTAGTGACATGGTCTTCAGGCATGGACTGCAGGAAGTAGGCATACAGGGAAGGCTCCCTCTACTGGGCCATTCTTGCAAATATCAGTTGTGATCATGGCACTGGAACGGGCACAGCAGACACTAACTGTAGTGCCTGTTACCTTTGTAGGAAGGAGTAGAGCCAGGCTCACGGGTCCTGGTGCACTTGGGAGTGTCTCTGTACCTCCATCACAAGGTGGCTGACAGCCACTGAAATGATGCTTACCTGGGGGGTGGGGGGTGGCTAGAATAGCTTAGCCTACATGGGAGTCATAGAGGCCCCCAGAGAGGAGAGCCCAGGCCTTTCTTGATCCAGAGATTCAGGCTCCAGAGGGAAAGGCCCCTACAGCCACCCTGTACCACACAGCAGACGCGCAGGTTTTCAGCAGGCACCTCCACCTTGGCATTCCCATGGGTGGGAATGCAGGCCCGGTCAGAAATGGTTTTCATGGCCCCAGACCCCAGGAAGAAACACAGGGACTCTGTCGATGATACCTTTTTAATGCTTAGACAGTTTGGCCACTGTTCCTGGTTATCAAAGTTTTTTAGGCAGATCTGTTTTCTTAGCAAACTGTACTCTCTGAGGCAGCTTGGGTCTATCCAGGAAAGTCTCAGGCAGCTTTCTCAGCTCATGTCCTCATTGTGCAGGCTGAGCAGTTTTGTCTGCAGGGGTGTGAAGTAGGGTCTGCTTGGGATGGTGGGCAGCGCCATCAGGCAGAAAGGATGGCTGGGGCCCACACACTTCCGGATCTGGACCCTGGACTTCCTAAAGGAAACTCTGTGCCTGCAATTGCCACGTCCAGTCCTATAACCTGGTTCCTGGAACCCACATCTACCAGCGTTGCCACTGGGCAAGGTATAAAATATTTCAATGACATGGTTATCACGCTGAACCTAATAGGTAAATGTGGAAATCTACATTCAGCAGAGAATACACATTCTTTTCCTAGTGCATTCAGATTATCCTTAAAATTGACCATGTTCTAGGCCATAAAGAGGGGCCTCAATAACCTCCCCCATTATTATTATGAAGAGCATGATCTCTGACCTTAGTAAAGAAATTAAAATCAGCTAAAAATGACCCATATGTTTGCACATGTAAAAGCACAGATCATAAGGGAAATTATAAAATAATTAGATATGAATGGCAATACTGCATTTCAAAATTTGTGACCTACTTAAAGAGTGATTTATAGCTTATAATACATTTACCAGGAAACAAGAAACGTTGGCAACTGCTGTGGGCTGAATTGTGTTTTTCCACCCCCTCAAAAAATTCATGTTGAAGTCCTAACTTTCAGTGTCAGTAAGTTCTCTTTTTCTTTCATGCTTCTCTGTTTTGACTAATGAAAGTAATACTTATTAATCATGTAATATAATTCAAACAAGTTCCATGCCCTTGTTTAGGGTCAGTCTCATCAGCAAGAGGGACAGGGACACAGAATTGAGATCTATAATTTTGGGGCATGTCTTTCCAATTTTATTTCTATTCATAGGTAATAAAATTGGGATAGTTTTGTAAACATTAATATCTAACTAGCTTTTGATACATTTTGTCTTTTTCCCACATGTTGAAATATTTCTTCGTAAACCTGATTTCTAATGGCTTCATAAAAGTCCATTATATGGATGTTTCTATAATTTACTTAATTATGTTAATCTAGAATGTACACTCTGAATATAAGGATTTTTCCCCCCAGTCAGTACACTGCAATTCCTCAGCACTTACAATAGCATCTAGTACATAGTAGGTGCTCAATACATATTTGTAGAATGAATGAATGAAATATTTAGGTTGTTCTATTTTTTCTGTATTATAAATAATATATAAATAATGCTCTACAAAGCATTTTTTTGTACATTATACTTTCACTGCATTTCAAATGATTTTCTAAGCCATTTCTTCTAGAAGAGGACCTTGACGGTTGAAAGGATATGGTCAGTTATATGATTTCAGATTAGTTTTCTCTGTGAAATAATGTTATCTATGGCTCTATTTTTTTATACTTTAATTTTATAAATTTTCGATAGCTATATTCTGTTAGAACCAAAAGAGTTTTGTTTTTGTTTTTCTCTCGTAAGTGCATTTCTTTTTATTCAGGGAGCAGTTAGTGATCTTATGACTGGAATATAGGGTGTTATTGGTGAAAGACCAGGATGGAAAGGTCACTTGGCCAAAGCAGTTGAATGACTTGGTATGTTGTGCTAAGGAACTTTATTTTCCAGGAATGGGAGTCCTCTCAGAAGTTACTAAGCAGAGTAGTGGTATAATCAGAATTCTTTTAGAAAGATAACACTGGTGATAGTGTAGAGGAAGGATTAGGTAGAGAAGAGACCAGAGGCTGGGAGATCCTGGATTTATCACTCTCAGGCCTCCACATTTAATCAGTCACCAACTTTTATGTCCTAAGCGTTTCTTGAATTTTCTCCTCTATTCCCTAGTCAGGTCCTCAGTATCTTGCACCTCAACTACCACTGTAAGCTCTCATTTCTTTCCTACCTAAGAACCATCCTCCACAGACGTATTGAAGTGATGTAACTAAAGCCAACTGTGAAGAATGTTTCCCTGTTATCTGCATTTTAACGTCCCGGTTGATTGACATGGTGTGCAAGCTCCTCCATTATTTGGAATGTTCAGGCTCGTTTCTTGCTCTTCCCTGCTAGGAGGAAAACCTTTCCTTGGGAAGAAAACTGCACATTGTCCCCTTACCCACATGGATATTTCTTGCTTCTGTGCCTTGCTAATGCTGCCCCCACTTCCCAAAATACTGCTCTCTCTAACCAAATCCACTTGGTCCCCTTTTTCTGGGGTTCACTCACATGTCAGTCACCTCTTCCAAGAAATTTTAACACACACACACACACACACACACACACACACACACAAACACTTATTTTTCACGTATTACACACCTCCCTTCCCCACTCCTACCCTTTGGGTCAGAGATCTCTCTTCTGTCACTTTTATAGGACCTTCCTTTCCATGTTGTACTATAATTATTTGTTTAGGTATGTTTCCCACACTGGACTGTAAGATTTGGAGATTTTTATTCAATCTTTGTATTCTCAATAGTTAGCATAGCATCTGCCATACAGTAAGATGGTTAAAAAAAAAAAAGATCCTATTTTCATTTTTCAGATGAAGTAATGAGGGCTTGAACTAGGCCAGTGGTGCTGGGAAAGAAGGAGAAACAGATGGGAAAGAGGTTGCTGGGTGTGAGTGATGAGTTAAAGGTAGAAGTCACAGATGATTGAGGTGTGCAACTGGAGTAAGTGAGTTTTGTAGACAGGTTTTTTTTACTTGTTAAATTTGAGGTATTTGGTGAACATTCTAGGGATGACTAGTAGGCATCTAGAAATATGGGTCGGGATATTAGGAGATAAGGGTTTAGGAGACATCAGCATGTAGGTATTAATTGGGGCATTTGGAATAGATACTACAAGTCAGGAAGGAGAGGAGCTATACAAAAGGTGGAGTTGGGATCCTTGGGGAACAACATTTAGCAGGTTACAGAAAAAAGACAAAGGAGGGGAATATGTTGATTGTTAATAATGTCCAATAATGAAGAGAGATTGAAGCAGATGAGAATTGAGAACTATATTTTGTTTGGAAACTGGAAGGTCATTATTGATCTTTGAAAGAATTAAGCTCACTCCACTGGAGTGAAATAAAACTGGATTGAAATAGGTGATTGAAAGAGGTTGAGAAGCAAATAAATGGATGAGCAAGTGGGAAAAGCAGGCATATACTACTCATTAAAAATGTGTTTTATGGACAAATGATGCCTTATGGGAAAGGGATGGGATATCAGTTTCTTTCCGGGAAGGTAGGATAGAGGTAAAGTTTTTGTTTTATTTTTGGATGGGAGGTGTCTTGGAAAAGTTCGTCAGTTGGTATTCAGGAGCCAGAAGAAAGGGAAACAAATCCTTAATGCAGCGGTTCTCAGCCTGTGGGTCGCCCCTTTCACAGGGGTCGCCTAAGACCATCGGAAAACAAAAAGATATTTACATTACGATTCATAACAGTAGCAAAATTACAGTTATAGAGTAGCAACGAAAATAATTTTATGGTTGGGGGTCACCACAACATGAGGAACTGTATTAAGGGGTCGCTGCATTAGGAAGGTTGAGAACCGCTGCCTTAATGGGAAAAGGGCAAGAAGGAAAGGGAGGATCTGGGATCAAGATCTCAAATGAGATACTGTCAGCCTTGAAAAGTACTGGGGACACTTCTCCCTTGGGTTCAAAGAAGAAGAAGTAAGGATAAGTGGAAATGTAGAAATATTTAAAGATGATCTGAGAGTATGTGAAAGGTCTATTTTTTATGAATGTGTGACCTGGTCATTAATTGCAAGTGAGGGTTGGATAGGACCGGTGGGACAGATGGCGATATGGGGCATTTTAGAAGGTTAGTAAAAGACCCAAGAATTAAAGGTGGGAATGCAGGTGGATTTTAGGGCTCAGTTGAGAGTGAGCTATGGAAAAAAAATGGAAGCAATAATAAAAAGAGTTGAACAACACAATTTTTAAATAAAAGGGACTAAAAGAAGGATCGGGACTGGAGAGTTTCTTACAGTTACTGATTAGGCGTAAGTAAGGCATATAGTTAAGGAGAGTGATATTTGCTCTACAGTCCTAATGCTGGGAAGAACTGAAGAGTGGGATGCAGGGCTGGGGAGTAGGCTAAGGAGACAGATGTCTGGACATCATCCATCTACTAGAAGTAAGTCCTGTCTGGTCACAGGCCAGTGCGATTTAGACCTGCAGATTCAACTCAGTTTTAATGCATGACTGATAATATTTGAGATTCAGTGTGAGAAGGTGTATTTTTGTTTTCTTTCTATTGTGGTATATTCTTATTCTATATGTATATTGATTAAAGTGTGTAAAATAAAAGCAACAGATTGCAGATAACTGTTATTTAAGACAGAGTGAATTTTGTATAGAAAAGTAGTATTGGCTGGATTATGAGCTATTGTTGCTTATTTGTTCATTTTTGATTAAAATATCTCTGGTGGCTTGCAGTGTTTATCAACTAATAGATTTTGAAATGCAAAGACAACTCTAAAAAGATAATCATTTCTTCCAAGGTATTTTGTCTTCTACCAGGAATTTGTAAATAGATCTATAGACCCAGTTGATAGGCTCACCTCTGGCACAGATATCTGATAAGAGCAGCATTTCTATCAATTATGCTTTTTCTTAAAAAAAATAAAACTATAAAAATAAAAGCATAATTCATGTAACTCCTACAAGAAATGCATAATTAATTCATGGGGAACAATAATGGAGCAAGATATAGTTGAAAATCAACAGCTCTACGGATTAAGAGCCTTCTCTCTACGACTCAATTGTTGTCAGTTACTGCTTAACTTAACGCTGGGTTTTCCTTTTTGCTTTCAGGAAAACCTTTAACTTACGCCCTGGGTGTTACCTGTCCACAGTTTCCTGGTGGCTCACCGCTTCTGCCTGCTCCAGCCTTGCTCCGGCAGCTTCAAGGCTTCTGGGCTTCAGAGCTTGTTGTGAAAGCTTGCTGCTTTGGCCTGCTACCCCTGCTTCAGGTGTCAAAAGCTTTTAATTAGCTTGCTTCCTCTAATGACTATAACTAGGCCCTTATGTGTCTGCACAACCTAGTCCTAGGGTCTGAAAGGAGGATTATTTTTAGCCATTCATTCTTCCTTAAAAACTCTTGTACCCTGCCTCTCCTGGGATTCAAGGGAGAGTAGGAGAAGGTTGAAGTTACACTGCATGATTCCCTTTTGGTAGCCTCTGCACACGCAGGGCTAGTCTGCAGTCCATGGGGCACGTGGCATGGGCATACCGTATTTTTATAGCCCGTGTCTGTTCTCATGGGCCAGTGCCATGCTGTACCAAGTTTTAAGTATTTGGACGTTGCTACTCTATATATACATTGTGTCTCCACAGAGAGGCTACCTCTAGCTCTTTGGTAAACCCTTTGTAGTGTTTTTAGTGTGCTTGTTAAAGAGACTTAGTATTTTTCTTTTCATTAAATATTTTGAACACAAACTGATCACTAACAGAACAGTTTATAACAAGCAAACACAGTGATTTCCATACATATTAACACTGGTCACCATGAACATGTCAGTAGGTATCAAGATCGTAGGCACGATGCCTGGGAAGCGTCTTCAGGACCTACCGACAGAACTGTTCGGTACTTACAGTGGTCAAGAGTGCCAGCTAGCTCTGTAATGAGACAGTGAGGACTTTATACTGGTGTAAGAAGTAAATAAGGGAGTAGACGCAATGTGCTTAGCCAAGTGCCAGGCGCAGAGTAGTAAGCTTTCTATACTAAGAATTGTTTTTGTTATTTTATTATCGTTAATATTAAACGATGGTAGAAATTATACAGGGGACATAAGAAGGAGACAAAAACACGAAGCAATAGTAGCGAACAGTCAGACAAAAGATAAGGAACGCTAAGTCGTGAAGTCAAGACCTTAAAAGCCATGCATATTGTTTAGAGAGCAACATGAACTGGAACAATCTATTATACGCTTAATAAGTCTTAAAATACACAATTGTATCTCTTTTATCATAATGCCTTACTTTTATTTGCGTTTCAGTATCAGGTAGTATACTTAAAGCTGAGAGTATTGATGCCTTACTACTTTCTATGTATACTCACCCACATAGATTCAAATCATCCACGATTTATTCAACAAATATTTATTGAGTCCCTATTGATTCTTAAGCACTGGGCATGTACTAGGGAACAAATGAGAATAAATTATTCCTGTCCTCATGGAGCTTATATTTTAGTGACTGAGGCAAACAATAAACAGAATCCATAAATAGAATATATATAGTTTGTTAAATAATAAGAGCTAAGGGGGAAAGGAAGCAAAGAAATGGGCTAGAAAGTGTGAAAGGGAAGAGTGACATTTCAGTGAGGGGGTGAGAGAGCAAACCCTGGGGTTGTAAGGGGGAAGACTGTTTGACACCTAGGGAATAATAATGAGTACAAAGGCCCTGGGCTGGGATTGAACAAGGTGACCAGTGCGTCTGGAGCAGAGTTAGCGAGAAGAGTGGTATGAGATCTGGGAGGTTGGAGGACCAGCATGTGTAGGCCTTATAAGTTATAGTTAGCATTTTGACTTTTACTCGGAGAGACATCAGAAACTCTTAGAAGTTTTCGAGCAGAGGAGCGTCATGATCTGAGCTGTGTTTATGCAGGACCACTGTGGCTGCCATGTTGAGATTGTGGGGCATAAGGGCAGAAGTTGTTAGGCTAGGTAGGATAATCAGGCAAGCTATACATGGGATGGGATGGACCAGAGGAGGGATGGTGAATGCTGGATATATTGAACATAGACTAGATTTGCAGAATTGCATGGCAACTCTTCCTTGGATATTAAAATTCTGTTTAATATAATGTACTCATTCCTGAATTATATGTTGTAGCTGTAAGTGATTATACTTAAATTTTGTTTAAGAACTCATTCCTTTACATGTCATATACTGATTTATTTTTGTAGTGTTTGCAGTTTTTCTGACATTATAGGGCTTTTAATATGAAGTCTTTAAAGAAATCTCTATATTTGGTGTTTGAAAAATATATCTTTGTCCTGAGTTAAATTTACAACCAATTCATATTGATTGTACTTTTCATTTTGGTCAAATTAAATAAGAAAGAACATTTTAACATACTACCCTCTTATATGTCAGTTAGCTGTGGTTCTTGAAATCTAGAACCTGATGTTAGAGTTCTAGGAGAATTCTTTTTGTAAGTTTTCTTCTTCTACTGAAATGGACATAAAAATGATTTGAAGGTTTAAAGGAGAAAAGCAAGATCAATTTTTATTTTATCACTTCATCAGTTTCATATTCTTATCTCATTATGTCATCAATTTGATAATCTGAGAATTATTTCCTGAACTGACATTTTTATTTTTTTACACCCCACCTCATTTCAGAAAAGTTTTTAGGTAACTCATGAAGCTTTTACAAGGCAGCTTTGAGAATGTTTTCCACCCGACAGAAGCCTGGCATTCCTGATTACCACACAGATGTGTAGAGTAGGCCTCATTTGGCCCTTACCAGCCACACTACAGCACCTCAATAATTAGTGGTAATTTCATGACCAAGATGAGGCATGGTATTCACACTGTTCATTCCAAGTTTCAAATTGGGCGTGTTCCATACAGAAAATGTACAAAGGTGAATAGAAATCATATCACCTACATATACCTGATTTTGTAATACTTTAGTGCCTATCTTTCTCAATATACATATGACATAGAAATTCATAGGTATACATTTTATGTATATATATATATATATATACATACATGTATATATATGTGTGTATATATATATACCAAAAAAATCATAACATTCAAACTTTAATAAACTTCTTTTAAATAATATATTGTAAACTTTCTCTGTTAAATAGTATTCTTTAAAAGTATTTTCATGGATATTAATAATTTTCTATAATTTTGTGGTACATCATATTTAGTTAATTTCATCTTGCAGAAGATTTATTTCCGTCATTTTACTATAGGAAACTACACTATGGTAAATATTGTGGCTTAATTTTTATTTGTATATATTTTCAACTGAGGGTATTTCTAGCTATATTTGTATGTGTATGTATGTTTCATATGTATAAAATTATGGCAAGTTAGAATTTGAAGAGATTGAAGTTTCTTATTTCATAGTTAAGAAATTGAAGTAATTGGAATGTATAACGTCTGCCACCTATTAGTGGTAGAGCAAACAGCAGTTAAGAGATTGAGCTATAATGCGCTTAGTGCAAGGCCTGAAACATAACAGCTAATGCTTATTGAATACTTACTAAGTGTCAGACCCTGTTGTAAGCACTTTATACTTGTATTAATTGTTTTAATCTTCACTACAACTGTGTAAGGTAAGTACTGTTATTAGCCCTGTCATATTGTTGAGAAAACTCAAGATTTGAAAGGTTAAGTTATTTGCCTAGAGTTACATAGCTCATGACTGAGCCGGGATTCAAACCTGAGTAGTCTGGCTGCAGAGTCCATGCTATCACCACTATCCTGAACAGCGCAATAAATGCTAGCTCAGTGTTTGAGCGTTCAGTAAATGGTAGTTTGTTTCTACTGCACAGCTCTGTAATCCAGAGGTGGTTTTGGTTCCAGTATTTTTTAGATTTTTGAAAGATAATTTAATGCATGTACTCTATTTTATATAGCACTCCTATTGGGGTTTAGAGCAGCACCTCATAAGCAAATGCAGTGAAGCATGTTTGGCTTTATAATAACTGAGATTTAAAAAAAACAAAACAGGGCTGGCCGAGTCGCTCAGATGGTTAAGACCTTGCTTGGGAGCACCAGCTCTGAGCAGAAGGGCTGCGGTTTGGATCCCACATTGAGGGCCAGTGACGCTTGCCCTCTACAGCTAAGATGATGTACAACAGCTCGACCTGGAGCAGGGCTGCTGTGAGTCGCTGCAGCAGGGCTGCAATGGGTTGCCGTGAGCTACATGAGTGGCTGGCAGCCAGCGTGAGCGGCTGGCAGCCGGTGTGAGCTGCCGGCAGCCGCTATGGGCAGCCGACCAATGACCGGCGACCGATTGCCTCACCCGGGAAGAGCACAATGATCATACCAACATGGGCCAGTGAAGCGACGTCCTCCACAACTAGACTGAAGAACAAAACAGCAATTTGTTTACCTGTCTGTTCCCCTTCCCCGATTCCCCAACGCTGTTCCCCTCCCCCCCAATTTCCCAATAAAATCTTAAAAAAAAAAAAATCTTTGATTTAAAACAAAAACTATAATAGTCTGATGTCAGTTCATGCATCCAAATGGATTGTGAAAACCTTTTTCCTTTTAGTATTGCAGATGAGGGATTGTGGACCTGCATAAAACTCTTACAAGAGTACCAGGCATTTAGAACACACTCCATATATGTTGGTGGATACTACTACTACTACTACTACTACTACTACTATACTACTTATTATCAGATACGTATATTCTTACATGCATAGGAAGGTGGTGAATCATATAGTGCCGAGCAAACTTTCCTCACAACATGACCAGAGGAGGGGAAATCTAAGTGTTGGAGTCTTTCAGCCGTTCTTCCCTAAATCAGAATAAGAGAGGGTTTAAGCGATAGCCTTCCATGTCTCTTCCTTGTCCTAAGTGTAGGCAGGTCTGGCTCAGTGCTCCTGTCCTTCTGTCCAGCTGCACTCCCAATTGTGCAACATATAATTTGAGTCTCCAGAGCAGCTTAACTTGTATGTTCAGCCTTGATTCAAGTTTTCCCGGCTCTATTACAGCCCGTTTCTTTTTTTTTTTTTTTCATCTTTATTGAGAAATAATTGACATATAACGTTGTTTAAATTGAAGGTGTACAAAGTGATGATTTGGTACATGTATATACTGTGAAATGGTTATCACAGTAAACCTTGCACAATTACCTTTTTTTTTTGGTGGTGAGAACATCGAAGACCTCTTAACAGCTTTCAGGTATATAATACTATATCGTTAACTGTAGTCACCATGCTGTACTTTAGATCCCCAGAACTCGTTCAGCTTATAACTGGAAGTTTGCGTCTCCTTGTTTCCCTCACCCCTTAGTTCCAGACCACTGCTATTCTACTCTGTTTCTATGAGTTTAACTTTTTCAGATTCTACATATAAGTGAGGTCTGTACTATTTGTATTTCTGTGTCTGGCTTATTTCACTTGGCATAATGTCCTTCAAGTTCATCCATGTTGTCACAAAAGCAGGGTTTCCTGCTTTCCTATGGCTCACACACACCACACCCACACCCACCCACCCCCCCCCACACACACGTTTTTCATCAGTTTATCCATTGATGGACATTTAGATTGTAATGTCTTGTACAGCCTCCTTCTTTAAACATGAGCTCACTGAGAGAACAATGGTAACTCATCATTTCCGCAGATATGACTAAAGACTAAAGTGATTGCATTTGACATTGAGATACATTCTCTTCCCACCATTTTAATTGATGAAAAACGAATCACAGCCATTATAACCATTTATGATGATTACCAAGAAATGTTCTAGTTCGTATAGTTTTATAAAAAGTGTTATACATTGATTTTAATTATGTGATCATATTACTTTTATTGTAGTCTGATCCAAATGTAAAATTTTTAAATGTCCCTGATACGTACATTTACTTGAGTTTAAATGTATTCTCTATCTTTGGAAATATCCCCTTTGAACTGTTTGAAGATGCTATATGTAGGTTGTTCTATCCTTCTGCATATTAGAGTCGTATTTGTCTTCCCCTTCCCCACCCCACAATAATTGGACACAACTTTTGTCTCTTCTTCTGTAGTTCAGTCTCAGCTCTTTATCATCCCCAATAAGCTGGCAGGGCTCTTTGAGATTACCTTGTCAAACTGATGTAGAGAAGTAGAAAGAGTTTGTTGAGGGAGAAAATGGGGGCTTATTTATTTGTATTTAACAGTTTTTTTATCCATAACTAAAATATAAGATACGGAAATATCTGTTCCTTTTCTTGTTGGAAAGGAATGTGTAAAGTCTACAATTTGTGGCAGAGCTGTTAGCCTTATTTGATCTTTAGGGGTATGTGTGTTTTGGGATTTGTGGTATAGTGTGTAAGAATATGTGGTGCGAAAATTAATATCATTTTAAGTTTATTTCGTATTGCTTGATCTCATAGAACATATTTGACAGCAGGCACTCCCTGTAGCATTGTGTTGGAATTTGGCATGCAATATTTAATAAGCTCTAGCTGTTTCATCTTGGACATTTTGGTCAATATCTTAATGGTAGTAGATGTTGAGTGTAAATTCCAGGGCTGAAAACTTGAAAAGGAGGATATAATATATAATCACCAACTGATAAAGTGTTAAAAAATACAGTTATTTGTTTGGCACGTGTTCACTAACTTTTTCACTTGACAATATTATTTGATTTAGGATCTTAGAATTTGAACTGCATGGAAATCATTGATAATTTTGGTATTTATTTTTTTACAGAGAGGAAAAAGGAAAATGGATGAGTGAAAAAGTATTATTTGTTGTATTTTAAAACTTGTATTTTCTTTTCTTTTCTAGGTTGCTGTTGTGAAACTAAAAAATGCAGATAAGGTATTTGCCATGAAAATACTGAATAAATGGGAAATGCTGAAAAGAGCTGAGGTAAGATTCTAATTATTGGAATATTTAAATAATATTTTAGAAGTATTTATTAAGAACTATAAAATTATTGAGAGCCAATAGATCTTTAAATATCATTTAGTAACATTTTATCTGATGACATATTTTAAGGTCTAAGAGACAAATTCAACAATTCACAATTGTGATATAGTTAAGAAAAAAGTTATGACTCATGGTACTAATTTAATATTGTCTGAAAACCAAATGGAAATTCTTGTAATAGGAGACTTACACATTTATTTTAAAAGGATGTGTGGAAAACAGTTTTCTTTTATAGGAAAAAAATTTGTAATGATTGATTTGCAATGTGATGTAACTTGTTGATATCATTCAGCATTGATCTGTATTCTACGCCAAGCAAAGCTCAGCAGGTGTTTTGAATATGCCATCTAAGACTTCTATTTATTGCTGGTCGTGCAGTGAAATTTGTTTTATATTACTAAAGAATGATAGTAAAATCTGCTCTTGCAAAAATTGTCAGCATTTTTATGTTGGTGCTAGATTGGAGGGAGAGATTGACTGGAGTGATGTTAAAGCTAGTAATTGGTATGGTCAGAACTGACATAACACAGAAATTTGGGGTGGGGTTCTGGAGGTTTGCTGCGCTGGATCACAGTGAATGGCTGAATGGGGTAGGGCACTTGGACCTCAGGGAAGAGCTACTGGCTTTGAAGTATTTCTAAGTATTTCTGTACTTTAACTTGTAGAAGGAAGGGTCAGATGGCTGAGTAGGCTGAGTATTAGCTCTGGAGATTAGTAAGACCTGTTAAGAGGATAATGAGAAATTAGCCCTTAGCGTCTTTCTTTATCTACCAATATTTGCAGCAACCTGAAAAAGAACAGACACATAGGGAAAAGTGAAAAACGTTTCCATGGTGATAAATATGATGGTAGTGAAAGTAAATACTTCAGTATTTCTTTCTTTTGGACAATTTGGAAAATATAACAAAACACAAAGAAGAAACCAATGAGCACTTGTATCCATCACCTAGAATTAATCAGTAACATATTTGGCAACTTTGTGCTTTCAGATTTTTTTTTTCTATGTGTCTACTGAAAAAAACGCACTAATGAAATACAAATACATTCTTTGTAAAATAAATAATAGCACATAACAGATAAAGCTATGTACTCTTTGGCTACACCCAACCCAAGTCCCGCTCCTCTCTGCCTCCCATAGGTAATTACTGTGCAATGATATCTGTTTAAAAAGTATCTGGAAACTTTCTGGTATATGTACCAGTGCCCATTATACTCAATAACTTCAACCTTTACTTTTGAATTTTCCTAAGACTAAATTGCCTTACTGTCACTGCTTGGATTTTCCAGGTAGTAAGCACTGAGATTGAGGTTAATGTGCCGTATATTTGTTGGGGAGTTCTTTTGAAATCTACAACTATATCTACAACTATAGAAGGGAAAAGAAATGAAACATAATTTATTGGGGGGAAGTCAGAATGGCCCAGTAGCTTCTCTTGGTGCAGCAGGGGGCCATGGAGCAAATGGTCCTTTGGAGTTACCCTGCATGGTGCGAATGACTGATCTTTGTGCCCTGCCTCAGTCAGTCATTGGTTTCCTCTGAAGGACATGGCTTTGGACTGGTAGTAGGCTTCCTGCAGCTGAGGCAAACCCTGAAGGGGCTGACAGCACTGCCAGCAGCTTATTAAGAAATAGTAAATAATTATGTTCTAATTGTTTCACAGAAGTCATAATTGTAGTCAACTTAGTGTTTCGGAGTTGGAACTATTAAAAAAATTGAGTTAAAGTTTTTACTTATTTCTTATGCTGTTGGATAAGTTGGAGAAGAATCGTGCAAAGGAAGTATCACTGTGTTAGCTTTCATTACTGACTGAAAAAAGTGGCAAAATTGAAGATAAAACAAGATAATTGAAAATTAAATATTATTTTGTTGAATTAAAAAGCATTCATATAATCTGGGGCAACATGGAATAGATGATTCTTCTCCCTGTTGCTCCCATTGAGTACAGCTGAAGACCCTGCATAAAACAGACATGAGAAAGACTAACAGGGAGAAAGAAGCAGGTGGACCAGCTAGGGACCTTGGGGTAAAAAAAAAAGGCAAAAAAAAAATAAAAGCTCCTTTTCTCCCCCAGATATCCAATCTTTCTGTCCAAAGTAAATAATTATTAAGAATTTCTTATTTATTTTTAATAGAAAATTTTACTATAATGGCATCATATTAAAAGACTGATTTTTCCCATTGCTTTGATCATTCAATAATATATGTTGGATTTTTCCATTTCCATATTCATTGATTTATCTCAGCCTTTTTAATAGCTTCCTTATACTCAGTGAATATATTAGTAAGTTGATTTTTTTTAAAAAACATTGATGGTAGCAGGATGGCTCATCTAAAAAAAAAAAAACAAAACATTGATGTTTAGATTGTTTTTACAGTTTTTACTATTTTGAACTATGCTGTAGTAAAAATTTTATACATGTACTTTGGAGTACTTTTGCAAGTTTACTCAAAATGTGAATTCTCCATAAGGTGGAATCAAACTATCAGTAAGTTCAGTTATTTCACCAAATCTAACTATGTGTGGTTGGCAAAGAGAATTTCACAATAAGAGAGAAAATAGTGCATCAGAACTAGTCGTGCCACCTGAGAATTATATGCAACGTAAGTAAAAATAAGAGGGCCTCTGAAATGCTGTTAATAGAGATGTCGCTGTTGGCTACCCTGAGGTCATCCAGTTTGTGAATACTGAGGTTGAAGTGATTTTAAGAATAATTTTTATACTAAGGGATTTTCATGTTGTGCTGACTCTAGAATTTATCCACTTCCGAGATTAAACCCCTCAGTAATGGAACTCCTGGGTTTGGGGGGGCAGGTATACATTAAACTTTGATAGCCATTGCCAAATTGGTTTCTAAAAACGTTGCAGCAGTATATCTTTGCACTCATAGTACATAAACGTGTTTGTTTTTTACTCATTTGCCAATTGTGGATGTTATCAAGTGATTTGTCTCTTTTTTTTTTTTTTTAAAGATTTTATTGGGGAATTGGGGGAGGGGAACAGCGTTGGGGAATCGGGGAAGGGGAACAGACAGGTAGACAAATTGCTGTTTTGTTCTTCAGTCTAGTTGTGAAGGACATCACTTCACTGGCCCGTGTTGGTATGATCATTGTGCTCTTCCCGGGTCAGGCAATCGGTCACCGGTCATTGGTCGGCCACTCACAGTGGCTCCCGGTAGCTCATACCAGCTATCAGCCACTCATGCTGGCTGCCAGCCACTCACGTAGTTCACTGCAGCCCTGCTGCAGCCTACGCTGTCGCCGGCGACTCACAGCAGCCCAGCTCCAGGTTGAGCTGTTGTTCATCATCTTAGCTGTAGACAGCGAGTGTCACTGGCCCTCAACGTGGGATCTAAGCCGCAGCCCTGCTGCTCAGAGCTGGTGCTCCCAAGCGAGCTCTTAACCAGCTGAGCCACTTGGCCGACCCATCTCCATCTTGAATTATGTAAATAACCCCATTTTTTGCTGACAAGTTAAAAAATGACCTATTTCTTGTTTGGTTCAGCCATAAAATATAAAAATGGAGGTTTAAAAGTAAATTGATGTCTTGGTGTATAAGAACTAATACTGGAATTCTTGCATTTTGCTATTTAAAATTCCACTTGTTTATCTTTTTTTTAAAACTGAAAAAATTTGGCTTTTTCATCCCTCAAATGTTAGAGAGAATGGTTCAGTTACTATTTGAAAGAATTTCTCTGTGATAATACTTTATGGGTGAGAGAAGTCTTTATCACTAATAAAAGAGAAGCCAGTCATGAGTGCATTTTCTTGTTTTAACACATGATTTTCAAGTATTCAGGAAATGTTGATGTGCCGTATAGGAATGTTCTGATCGGTGCACCTATGGGTCCAGGGAATAGAAGCATGTGACAGTTTTGCAGAATTATTATCCTTTATATGTGGTCCATATTAACTTCTGTTTCAGCATAGGTATTTCTGTTGCTCTTTCGCATTAAACAATAGCCCATTAAGGATAAAATTCAAACAATATGTAACTGAATATTAAAAATGTAAAACTGCAAAAGTCAAAACCATCATTGTGCAAGCAGAATATTTGGTTGAATAGAAATCGAGTGACAGAATCTGAAGAAGTTATGTAATCTCCAGTAACCCCTCCAACATGTTTATTGCATTCTTAGAGACTCAAATATTCTGTTTTGAAAGGGGAAATATTACAAAAAACAAAAACAAAACTTTTTTTTTATTTTTTAAGCTGAGCCATCCTGCCACCTGTTGGCAACTCAGTAGCAACTCAGCTCGGGCTGGGCATCGAACTGCTGTTGCTCAGAGCTCGCACTCTTGCATGAGCTCTTAACCAACTGAGCCACTCGGCCGGCCTAAAATCTTTATTTTTAAAAAAAGATAATTGAAGCAGGTGTTATGACAGCCTTTTACCATGTTGACTCCTTGGCTCAACTTTATGAGCCCCATAGAATACATGCATCGTGGTTTGGTTCATGCTGATCTAGAGCAGAGTGTCTCAACAGTGGCATTCGTGATACTCCATGTGTGCCAGATAATCCCTGTGAGACTGACCTGTGCGTTGTAGGACGTGTGGTCGCATCCCTGGCCTCTTCCCACTAGGTGTCAGTAGCATTACCCCTCCATTGTTATAGCTAGCCGAGGACAATGACATGCTGAAGCAGAAAAGGAGACTGCGTTCTACAGTTGTAAACTTAGCATCTGAGGCATTAATAGGAAAAGTTTAATACCTAAGTATTTACGGATAACGTCATATGAGGTCTGGGATTTGCTTTAAAAGTTTTGTATGTGAGTGTACACACACGTGCACACACATATGTGCATGGTGGGAAGGTGGTGGTGAGTGGGTAGGACTGTAGATGAAATAAGATTGAGTGGTAAAATAATTGTTGAAGTTGGTTAACAAGTACATTGTGGAGAGGGGGCTTTTTTTTTTAACTGTTCTCTTTTGTATATGTTTGAAGTTGTATATGATGAAGTTTATTTTATGTATTTTAAAAAATTAATTTTTTCACTGAACAGTTTAGAAGAGATTAGAACCTACTGAAGTTTAACTTGTTCTGGTGACAAAACGTCTTTGGAGCTCAATTTAGTTTGGAGTTATCAATCAGATGTTTCTTAGATTCTAGCTGGAATGTCTCTAAAATTCCAGATAGATGTTATAATAAGATGAAACCAGGAGAAAGGGGTTGTAGGCACCTTTACCACCTCTCTAGAATGTTAGCAGCAAACTACCACCTCAGGTCAGTTAAATTCTAAAACAGAATTTAGTGGGGAGTATGTCAAGTGATTCTGTTTTTACCTTAAAATAAGCCAAGGCATAATGTTAATAATCTAACTAAAGGGTAAAACTGCCCATTTATTTGGTTTATGCTTTAATTGTTTTTAGTATTTCCTCCGGTGATGCTATTTAGTGCATGGCTTTAGAAATTCTATTTGATCAAATATAGTTTCTGGAAAATAAATGGAAAAAAATTAGAGTACCTAATTAGGGTTAATTAGGTAATGTTATTTGTTTTGTATATCACAGCTATTGAATTTACCTAGTGGGAAATAAATTATTGAGCACCTACGATATAGAGAGTACTGCACAATGATTTTTCAGGGTGTATGGAATATGGCATAGCCATTACGAAAAATTAGGTAGGCCTCTCTACTGATATGAAAAGCTGTTTAGATGTATTGTTACTTGAAAAAACAACTTACAGAGCAGTGCGATCTCATTTGTGTAAAGAAAAGAAACGATGGGGAATATGAGATACCATATGAATAGTGTGTGTGTTTGTGTGTGTACATATACACAGAAGTTTTCTGAGATGATATTCAACAGAGTTTATATGGTAACCTCTGGACACAAGTGGACAATGAAAGTGTGGGGACATGACTCAGGGAGACCTTTGGTTTCTACTTTACCTTTCAATTCTTTGTGAGCTTTCTGGCATAGTAGTTTTTTAAATTCAAAATTTAAAGATGATATAGAATTATAATGTAGCATATAAAATTATTTTTTATTTTTAGCCACACATTTCTAAAGTTCTCCAGGACATACCTTTATAATATGGAAATATTCTCAGAATCAATTAAAACTTTTACAAATCAATAAGAAAAAGACAATTCATTGGAGAAAATGGGCAAAGGGGAGTGAACAATTCAAAGAGAAAGCTCACATGTCTAATAAGCATGTATAAAGTTATTTATCTTCACCTGTAATTAGGATTATGTTAATAGAAGAATAATGAGATATTATTTCACACCCGTCATATTAACAAGCACTTAAAAAGTCTAATAATGCCAAGTGCAGTTAAGGATGTGGGTGAAATGGGAGATTTCATACTCTGGGGTAAGCGTAGTAATTGGTACAACACTTAGGAAAGAAAATTGGCTATCCTTGGTAACACTGAAAATGCTTCAATGTAGCATTTCTATTTCTAAGTTTATACCCTATAGAAACTCTTGTACAAACTCTTTGCAACATTATAACACAAAAATGGAAATAACCTATGTTTGCATGTTTAGGAGGGTTACATAAATAAATTTTGGTGTATTTAAATGGTGGAATACCATAGCAACTAAAAGGAAAAACAAATCATGATTGAGTAAAAAGTAACCAAGTTGCAAAAGGGTAGATAAAATTATGCCATTGGTGAAAAATTTCAAAACAAAACAATTCTGTTTTGTTTGGACACATATATGTGTGATCAAAGCATATGATGGGAAGAATAAACACTAACTTCAGATTATTTATCAGGAGAGGAAGGGGGAGGAATGTGACAGGAGTAGAAAGGCTACTACTGGAGCTTGTATCTTATTTCCTTAAAAAGATCAGAAGTAAATGTGGCAAAATGCTGACATTTTTATTATCTGGATGGTAGGTTGGACCATGATTGTTAAATGATTCTGTGTATTTTCCTGATTTTTAAAACTATAACAGTATTTTTTAATATAAAATATTTTTAAGTGTATTCTTCCAGTTCAATTTCTGAGAGTGCTTTAAAACTTGACTTATTGAAAGCTCACATTGATATTGGATATTATGTCTTTTCCAGAACAGAAAGCATAATAAACATATTAAGCAATTGTTTTCATAATATATGTCCTAGTTTTATATAAAGTGTCCTCTATCTAAAAAAAATTTTTTTTTTCCTTTTCAGACAGCATGTTTTCGTGAAGAAAGGGATGTGTTAGTGAATGGAGACAATAAGTGGATTACAACTTTGCATTATGCTTTCCAGGATGACAATAACTTAGTAAGAATCATTTTATTCCAGTTTTATTGAGAAATAATTGACAAACATCACTGAATAAATTGAAGGGCTACAGCATAATGGTGTGATTTACATATACAGAGGGTGCCAAAAAAATGTATACACATTTTAAGAAAGGAAAACTGTATTAAAATTGTAATACTCAATATATACCAATAACAAAAGATGAGTACAAGTCATGTTTGACTTTTGCAATTACAAGAGATGCTCAGAGTGGTCACCGTCAGCGTCTAGACACTTCTGATTACGACGAACTACTGCTTGAGCAACGTTTATCAAAGTGTCCACTTGTATATGTTTTTTTGGCACCCCTGGTATTGTGAAGTGATTACCACAATGGGTTCAGCTGACATCCATCTTCTCATATAGATACACTAAAAAGAAAAAGAAGAAAAAAAAGGAAATTTCTCCTTGTGATGAGAACTCTTAGGATTTATTCTTACCAACTTCCCTATATATCACACAGCAGTGTTAACTATAGTCACAATGTTGTGGATTACATCCTTACACATATTTATCTTATAACTGGAAGTTTGTACCTTTTGACCACCTTCCCCCAATTCCCCCTCCCCCTGTCTTCCTCCTCTGATAACCACAAGTTTGACATCACATAAGTCTGACTTCAATCTCTTTGTATGAATTGGTTTTCCTTTTTTTAAGATTCCATATATAAATGAAATCATACAGTATTTTTCATTCTCTGATTGACTTCAGTTAGCATAATGCCTTCAAGGTCCATCCATGTTGTCACAAAGGTAGGATTTCCTTGTTTTTTACTTTTTTGTTTTGTTTTGTTTATTTTTATTTTTATTAAACTTATTGGGGTAACATTGGTTAGTAAAATTATGTAGGTTTCAAGTGTGCAATTCTGTAGTACATCATCTATATATTGCATTGTGTGTTCACCACCCAGAGTCAGCTCTCCTTCTATCACCATATATTTGACCCCTTTTACGCTCTTCTACCAACTTTCCAATTCCCTTACCCTCTGGTAACCACTAAACTGTTGTCTGCGCCTATGAGTATTTGTTTGTTTGTTTATTGCTTTCAGTTTTATATCCCACATATGAGTGAAATCATGTGGTTCTTGACTTTTTCTATCTGACTTATTTTGCCTAGATGATAATCTCAAGATCCATGTATGTTGTTGCAAATGGCAGTATTTCATTTTTTCTTATGACTTGAGTCATATTACATTGTATAATGTACCACATCTTGATCCAATCATCTATCAAAGGACACTGGTTGTTTTCATGTCTTAGCCATTGTGAATAACATTGCAATGAACATAAGGGTGCCTACATCTTTACGGATAAATGTTTTCAGATTTTTTTTTGGTATATACTCAGAAGCAGGATTGCTGGGTCACATGGTAATTCTATTCTTAAGTTTTTGAAGAACTCCCATACTGTTTTCCATCATGGCTGTACCAGTTTACATTCCCACCAGCAGTGTATGAGGGTTCCTTTTTCTCTACAACCTCTCCAATACCGCTTGTTATTACTTGTCTTGTTGGTAATAGCCATTCTAACAAGTGTGAGGTGGGATCTCACTGTGGTTTTGATTTGCATTTCCCTAATAGTGTGAAGCTAAGCATTTTTTCATACATCTGTTGGCCATTTGTATATCTTCTTAGGAGAAGTGTCTGTTCAGGTTCTCTACCCATTTTTTAATTGGATTATTTGGTTTTTTTGTTAAGTTGTATGAGTTCTTTATGTATTTTGGATATTAGGTTAATATCCTTGTTTTTTTTTATGGCTGAATAATATTCCATTGTATGTATACATGCACCACAACTTCTTTATCCATTTATCCATTGAGGGAAACTTAGGTTGCTTCTATGCGTTGGCTATTGGAAGTAATGCATATGCATCATGACAAAATAAGGAAAGAAGAAAAAAGTAGACTTTATATATTATGCATTTAAGGCACAGTAGAATGTGGGTTATTTTGTTAACGAATTAAATGACAGCATGGTGTTTATTATGCAACTTACTACAGCTGTATTAATAGAATACAGTAAATGTCTGCATCGCCACACTGAGCACTAATCACAACACTCCTCACAGGAAAGCAGCCGTCAGAAAAGTTAGGAAATTTAACACAGAATATCTCATCACAGCAGAATTCCTTCATAAAAATAGAAAATGAAAATGAGGGTGCAACTGTGGTAAGTTCCTGAGGGGCTCATTTAGCCAAGCAAGGAAAGCCATTTACCAATGTTGAGTTAATTAAATCATGTTTGATTGCAGGAGCCAAAGAAACGTGTCCACAGAAAATTAACTTGTCTAAGACTATTAGCCTTTTGGCAAGAACAGTTGCTCAAAGAATTGAGGACACTGGGAGTAACATCGGTGGTTGATTATAAAACCAGGGGAATGAATTTGAGCGGTTTCTTTTGGCTCTTAAGTCGAAAGATGTTACCGATTCTGCTCAGTTATTTGAGGAGTCAGTGCTGAGTTTGAAGTAACTGAGGAATTAGCCTTTATGAATAGTTTGCGTGGAATAATTATAGTCAGTAGTACTTTCAAAGAAGTTGAGGAAACACTAATTTGGCATAAATTGAATTGGAATCTGCTAAGATTATTACAGTTGAGCGTGAAGAAAGTATGTGTGAAGCAGAAAGAGGCTTATTTGGATGCATGTGTAGATCATGTGAGAACATTAGGTGCCGAAAGCCTGTGGATATGCATGGTCTTATGAATCAAAAGGTAGTTTGCTGTAAATATTTGAACCTATCATGTGTTATTGAACTAGTAGTATCAACATTGAAGTTCATTCCGTCTCACAGAAACAACTATTATCATTCCCATGAATTTTGGTGAGAAATGAAAGCTGAATATCCTGACTAGCTATACAGTACAACTGTTCAGTGGTTTTTTCCCATTGGTAACATCTTATTGCTATATTTTGACAAAGGGCCTAGGTTGAAATATTTCTGAACAAAAAACCCCACCCTCAGTCATTATACTGAAATACTGAATAGCTTTGGAAAAATAGCTTTTCCTATAGACTTGGTATGTTTTTAAATAAATTTAACATATTTGGCGATATCCCTGAAATAATATCTCCATTCTGTAATAAAATCACTTTAACTTTAAGGAATTATAACTGACATATAAATATCTTCTATTTAACTAGACTTCATGCTAAGTGATACACTGCAGAGAAGGTGTTATTATGGTAGTTATGTAGATGAGAAAACAAAGTACCAAAGAGATTAAATAATTTTCGAAAGCCACTTAAAACCCAGAGTCAGAATTTGAATACAGGTCTCCCTGACTACAAAGCCTGTCCTTTTGCTATGTCTAGTTTTCACTCACCTTAAAAAATAACATATAATAATATACTGCAATGTAATGTAATATAATCTATAACATAATACGTGTATATATAATACATGTTTGTAAAACAATCTAGAAGATAACAGAAAGCTATGATATAGTCTACTATAATTTCACATTTTTGTGTATATTCCTGTCTCTTCTTTTGGGCATATACACACAGTAAAGGAAAACTCTGTTGTTTTTATTTACATTACACGCAGTACTCTCTAAATACTACTTCACTGCTGACATCAAATTGTGTGGGTACTCCACACATCAAGCAATTCTGTGACAACCAGCAGCAGGGCGTCCTATAATATAACTTAACTGAATTCTGGCACTACCTGGGGATAGGGTCAGATCCCACAGGTTAAAGGTTCAGCTCTGTAAGACTTCTCCCCTCACCACCCAGTCACAAGTCCAGTATGTTACTTGTTCTTCTGGCCCACAGGCTATAGAAGGGAGATTCCTTCTTGGGGTTCAGTTAATTTGCTAGAGTAGCCCACCTAACTGAGACATAGCCTGATGGAGAGATGCACAGGGCAAGGAATGAGGAATGGTGCACACAGCCTCCAGTGCTGTCAGTGCTACCACTCTACCAGGGCCTCCATGGGTTCACCAACTTAGAAGCTCTCCGAACCCATCCTTTTGGGGTTTTATGAAGGCTTCATTACCTAGACACAATTGAGTGAATCATTGGCTTTTGATGATTGATTCAACCTTCAGTCCCTTTCCCCTCCCCTAGGGGAGGGACTAAAAGTTCTAAACCATTAACCTTGGTTCCTCTGGCAGCCACCTCCCATCCTCCCATTCTTACCTTTCCAAAAGTCACTGCATGAACATAAACTCAGGTGTGGTTGAAAGGGCTTGTTATAAATAGCAGAAAACACCTTTATGTTGTCACTTAGGAAATTCCAAGGGTTTTAGATCTGTGCTCTGTGCCGCAAAATATATATATTTCTTATAAATGATGGTATCACACACACATACCCATAAGAGTTCACATCTAAAATGACTTGGCTTCTGTTTATATGTACCTAAGAAAGGAAAAGTCCATTCTGATATTAGTACACGACCAGAAACAGGAAGAGAAACACATGATGAAAATTACTGTATTCTATGCTCCAGTGGTCTCCAAATGCTGATTCAAGTGCTGGTTACCCGTCCAAGTTGAAATAAGGGAAATGGAATGATGACGAAGACGAATTTATTCAACATAAAGGGCTGTCTTATATTCTGAGTTTTTAAAATCTTTTTTGAAGACTTAAAATTTCATTCTTCTATGAAATGTTGGTAAAACTGTGGTTTGTTGTCGGTGGTGATGTTACTCTTCTATATTGTTTCTTTGCAAAATACAACAAAACAATGGTAACCCTATGTTGTTCCCTTCTCCAATTATTAAAAATTTTATTTTACCACTTTATGAAATTTTACAAGCTTTGTAATGACTGCTGATGATAATCTTACACAACTTCTTGTTGATTAACAACAAAGGTATTTGACCTAGTGCTGTTGGACCTTGGGCTACTTTAAATATATTATTTTTCACCCTTATTATGTATTGAGTGTGTTTTATTTTTTTCATTTCCAGTACCTGGTTATGGATTATTACGTTGGTGGGGATTTGCTTACTCTGCTCAGCAAATTTGAAGATAGATTGCCTGAGGATATGGCTCGATTTTACTTGGCTGAGATGGTGATAGCAATTGACTCAGTTCATCAGCTCCATTACGTACACAGGTAAGATGCTCCTTCCTTGACTATGGTGGAAGCCGTCATGTGCTTCTATAAGCGGAGGTCTATTTGTACCAAATTTATTAATCATGTACCAAATTATACATTTCTCATCAACCAAAGAGCTTATTCTGAGATGCTTTTCGTTGTTTTGCTTCGTTGTTGTTATTGTCATTATTTGTCAGCATTAAACAATTGATGTGCCTATTATACAACTATGTGCACGTATAACATGTATTTTCACTTCCAGTCCCCATTTCAACAGGATACTGCTGAGAAAGCACTCTTATTTAAATGTACATATAATTTCCTTCTCAAAAAAAAATATGCATGGGCCAATATCCTTATAGTTGAGTTTTATATATTGATGTTAGCCAGAACTTTAGGCCACAACTAGTAAGTTCATTTGCTAAAAAAGACCCATATTATATATTTTACGTTTCTCAAGAAAATACTTTCAAGGATTGTATAAATGTTAAAATATGTTTTTGTAGAAAAGCGATAATTTTGATAACTATGGAAAAAATGTTTTATTTGTAAATCGTTTGACAAGTACAACAATTTATTTAAAAATTTCCATACAAATGTGTGTTTTGTTGTATGCAGTTTACGATGGGAATGAAAAGAAAAAAATGGGCTCATTTACAAAGTGATTTTTCATACAGGATTGTTCTTGTACCTGTTGACACACATTAAAAATCTCTGTGTAAACAGCCCATAATAATTTATGTGTAATAAAAATATGTTAAATGTATTGGGTGGTTTAAAAGGCAGTTTTACATTTTAAAAGGAAACAAAGGAAATCATCACAGAGTTACAGGTGAATTAATCATTCAAAGGAGAGAGTTTGGGGTTGTGTAAAATGTGAGAGAGTAAGGCGATAGTAAGGAGATAGTGGGTAGAGGGATACTGCCACGTTAGAACAAATTGGAGCCATTTTCTAAGACAGTAGTCTGCAAACTCGAGCGTGCATCAGAAGCTCAGGGAGTACTTGTTAAAACCCAGACTGTTGGGTCACCTCCAGAGTGTCTGATTTGAGTAGGTTGGATGGGGCTGGGGAATCGGCATTTCTGACACCTTCCCCGGTGATGCTGCTGCTGGTCCAGCAACCACACTTGGAGAACTTTGGCTCTAAGACAGGAGCGACTGTTCTTTTTAAGTTGTGGGTGGTAAGAGTAATCTCTGTGCAGAGGCCGTTCCTGTTTCAGTGTCTGTCCCTGCAGGATGTGGGTGCCTTATGCTTATTGGTTTAATTAAAATGAAGTTCTAGGACATTATTAAAGGTAGAATTTTTTTATTCAGAAGTTTGTATTTATGAGATCTCAGTTTGGCTCTTGCCTATTCCTGTGCTTTTCTCTGTTGATGTCTGATAGTCACAAATTTTATTGAAACTAAAAGCATGAACATGCTTTGAAAATTGTAAAGCACAGTGTAATTTTTAAGATGGCATTGTAGTCTCAAGAGTGAATTATAGGATGAGCAACCAAAGTACTGTTTTTGTTGTTCAAACAGTAACCCAAGTTCCTAGTTGAAGAAAGTCATTTAAAAATACTTCAAAAATATCATTTCATTGAACATTTAAAAAATGTTAGTCTTAGACTCATGGAGTTTAGAGAAACTTTACCTAGTTCGTATCTAAATTCTCAACAAGGAATGATTGCTTCTGAAAATAATTTAGCTAGATAGGAGATAGTAAATATGAGTTGAGGTATTTTGTTACTCTCCCTCCTGCCAGGCTTGTGACAAATATTCTTGACTGATCTCAGGACCCTTTCCCACTGATTACATATGCAGTCTTACAGTTCTTCTCAGCACAACATTCCTGTCTTTCTGATATTGACATGTGGCTTAAAATCCATTTCAACCCTGAGCTCTACTTAAGCACCTCTAGTTTTACAAGGTACTTAATGTTACATGAACCTTATTTACTCCATTGTTGGCGAGATCTAATATTATAGAATTCTACTTTATGTTAAGCTCAATTTCTGTTTCTCCTAATCATCAGTTCTAGTTTTACCTTCAGAGCTAGATATAATAATCTGATTTATCTTCCAGTTATCATGCCTTCTGAAGTCATCTCTTCTATGGGTTAAACATCTGTAGTGTCTCTGTTGTCAAAATTTACATACACATTCTCTCCGTCTGTCTAACACACGTGTACATCTACACACACACACACACTCACACTCACACTGTGCCCACTCCCTTACCTCTTCTCCCTCCCTCCTTGTCTCTCCCTTTGCCCTTCAGTGGATGTGTCTAGTGTGTCAGTGCATTTCTTAGAATGTGATTCCTGTTTTCTGGATTGACTGTTTTCAGCAAATGCTTTACTGAGGAAATATTTATTGAACCCTCTTTGGTAAATAGCATTGTGGTAAACTATGTGAAATTTTAAGTAACTGAATATAGCACATAGTCCTGACTTTTAAGAAGCTTTCAGTCTGGGGACACAAACATAAGACATAATAAAAATTAAAGTAACACAAGTTAAATAATCATTTAGAGCAAAAATATAAGAGATGGAGTGAGCCTGGCTTGTGAATTGCTAAATGAATTATACAAGCAGATTACAATGAACTCAGAGAAATGAGTGATAAGCTTAATTCTCTAGGTCATTTCTAATTGCTGTTTAACTCTTACTGTGTGCTATGGACTTTACCTATGTTATTCTAATTCTTAAAACCATTCTGTGATTTGGATGTCATCTAAAATGGATGTTGCTCCATTTTATAGACGAAAAAGTCCAACCTCAGGGACATGTTGAGTCAGTGAGCAGCATGGCCTAGATTAAAATTCAAGTCAGGCTGATGCTAGAATTTATGCTATTTGTATAACATCATATTGCTCGTAAGAAAAGCTTTAATGGTGGGGCTTTGAAAATATTGAGACCACTTCTCAGCCCTCTTTCCCATTTGGCTGCAAAGATGATAATAGCCAGGCCTTGCTCCCCACGTAGAAGATTCTTTTCTGAGGGATTCTAAACAGAGGAAGTGAAAAGATGTACAATTCTGAAGTTGGGATATTCTCCCAATGAAACAGCTAAGCCAGATTACCCAGCCATATGGCACATCCCATCAGCTTTTTAACACCTTACTATAAATGTGAATATCTAGCCAGGGATCTCCGACATCTGTGGAAAACCTTTAACATTAGTATCCAAAATGAGCATAAACAAATGGAAGAATAGAAACTTGGGGAAAACCTAACTTAAGTGAAAAGAAAGTCCTTCTTCCCTAAATGATCATTAATATTCTGAGAAATAAGAGAATTTTTGGCTTATATGAAAAACATAATATCAAAAAGGGATACCCAGAGAATTACAAAACCTTTTAAAATTAAAACTGATAGTAGATTAAAGAAAAAAAAAACACCACCTTAGTAAAAGAGTTAGATGGGAAAGTTGAGGAAGTGTTCTAAAAAAATAGAAAAAGTCAAAGATCTGAGATGCTGGAAACGAAAGTAAAGAAAATTATAGGCTCATTCAAAGGGTAGACATCTAAATAGTAGGAGTTCTAGAAAAAAAAAGAAAATGAAGAGGATGAAATTTTCAAAGAAACAAAGAAAAATTTTATAAAGCTGAAAGACACGGATTTCTTTATTTAAAGGATCCACTGAATATTCAGCACCTTGATGGAATATAGACCCCCCCTTTCCAAGGCACATTGTATCCCTGAGGATGGTACAGAGTAATGAGATGAACTAATATAAACAATACATGTAATAAATGACCATTTGATAATTTATTACATGCTGTGTTAAAGTATAGGATACTATGCATTATTAAAATATTTATATTTGCCTTGTTTTCTCCATTAGATTTTTAGCTTCTATAGGCATAGACTGATGTTTTTCTCTGTTGTGCTCAGTGGATGCATTTTATGTCTGTCTCGAGGTTTTCTTCATTTAAACCTGGAACTTTGTGGTTGTTTCAAGGTTTTCTTACTAGATGTGTTTAATAGGTTGCTACAATGTAGCCCGCTCTTGTCAAATGATATTTTAGGAACAGTTGCTGTTGTATCTGGTATTTAGACCACAATTATATGTAAGCTTCAAAATTGGTTATGTCAGTTGCTATTGCAGTGTTTTTATTTTCTGATAGTCAAGTTATTTATCTAGTCTTTTATTCCTTTCTTTCTCACCTCATTCCATGATGGAATTAGGTAATTTAAAGTAACAATGCATACAATAAAATGATGGCAAAATATGTGGAGGACTGAAGAATCACGAAATTGAAATTATATCTAAAAGTAAAGAACCTAAGCCAGGATAAAATAACTAATGAACAGACATTGTCAAGTTATGTTTTCATACTTATCTTTAATTCTTTTTCTGGTATAGTTTTTTTACGTGAAAATGTCCAAATTTCAGATCAGTCTAAGATCCTGAGGGCTCAGGCACACTAACGTTTGGTTGAATAGAATCTCTCGCTGGAGGCAGTTAAGCTAGTTTCATGGAACTTAATGGCATACATGTGCTTTCCTGTATTTGTTTTAAAGTTAAAAACTGTCTTGAATAAATTCTTAGGATGGAATGTATTTTTAGAAGTAATATCTCCTTACCCTAGTTCAAAAATAAACCAAAAAACCAAAAACCTAAAAACAATTCACTATTCTAGAATTTCTTCATAATGCCTGTTTTTTCCCACTGGAATTTGTTTCATATTCAACATTTGTGATTACAGTTTTTATTAACCTAATCTTAATGTTAATAACATTTTATATAATATGGTTAAGTCTAGGGCAAAGTGTCCTCTGATACATTATAGGAAATGAAACAAAGCTATTTTAATAGAATTTGTTGGGGGAAATACCACAGAATTCAGTTCTAAAGAGTTTTTCATCCCTTATCCCATAAGAATTTTATTAAGTATAGGTATGTGCTGGGCCTCCCCCAGCTGGACTTCAGGCTGATTTCATCTCTTTCAGCTTGGATTTGTGGTATGATTTGGCAGTTATCCTCTTGGTGTATGTAAAATCATTACACTTTTACAAAAAGATAGAAATACT